CCCCCCCCCCCCCCCCCCCCCTCCTCCTCACCTCCCTCCTTCCTCCCCCACCACGTTACCAGCGGCTCGAGCTTCGTTTATCATATCTGCTCATTTATGCTGACAGCTTTATAGAGCGTCATCATATCAGAAATACACGGTTTGACAAAAAGAAAACGGTTTTGTTGTTTAATGTGACTATACTGTTGGACAGAAACAATGTGTCATCCTATGACATTTTTTCTGACTTGAGTTATTTATTTATTTGTTTTGCTTATACTCCACTGCTATACTTCACAGATACAGATTTGATGTGTATATGAACATGATGAATAAGCTAAATAGCTATAAATATGCTAGAAACAATGCAACAGTATGCTAGTTAGACTCAGCTCCATCAGCACCAGCTGCAACTTTTTGGGCATTCACTCTTTCCACTATAGACATCACTAACTAATCATTACTAACTCATGTCATGTCTGATTGTCTGTGTTGTAAAACAATGCAGAGGGCACTTGTTGTTTCACACTCACGTGGCTGCTTAGTTGAAATGCTTCCTGTCTTTGTTCAGCTTGTTCACCATTCTGGCTCCGGTCAGACAATTAGGTCTACTGATTAATATGAAAAGCAATTAACGCTTTATATACAAACGGAATCATAGTTTAAATACAGTTAGAGGAGGATTGTTGTGATGGTGGACGGTGTCTGTTATGTGTAACATATGACTGACACCTGAAGTTCTAATAGTTTATTGATTCAGTTTTCTTTCCTTCTGCCTGTGTTGCCTCTTGAAGAGATTAGTCGGGAGAAAGTGCAACAGAGGGGAGGAAGTGGAGAGACAGAGGGGGTGGAGGGGGATGTTTTTCTCTGAGAAGAGCCGACAAACAACAATATAAGGCCTGTTGTACTGTGGCCTGTCTGGGAAAACCCTTCAGCTCTGCGCTAAAACCGACTGATCCGATTTCTCGACAATAAATCAGTTGAGGTAATATTACACAAAAGCTGCTATTACTCCACAATTTTTAAGTAATATTATTACTCATTCAGGGCACTTAGTGTACTCCTTATTGCATTATTAACTTCATAACTAAACTCCCTCATCATTTTGCTAGATCGATTTCAAACTGATTTTCAGAAAGATGATATTGAATTAAGAAACTCCAAATCACACCGTTTACTGCTAAATATCTTTCTGCTTTGTGCTTCATAACCCATTTATTAAATATGCAGGTCACTATGACTGATTTAAAAATTGGAAACTGAAAAACCATCTCGTGCATTGGTGCTTTTATAATTTCCACACTCATTTTCACATATAGGCGTATACTTCAATGTGCAGACTGATTTCCCTTATATAAAATGCAAGCCTCAATGTGCACATTATCATATAACTAATTCGAGTTAATACAGCCATAATGACAGTATAACTGCACGCTAATTGGCCTTTTTTTTCCTTCACAACATTGCTACCAGATCGGCATCTCTTTATTATTTAATAACGTCAAACGCTTGGCTGGCTGTGCTGCTGGCTGCTGAGCCCGCTGGCTCAGCAGTTGGGAAGAAGACAATGCAGCTCCGATTCAGGAGATCCACTCACCAGCTATATGGTCACTGGAAAGAAAAGAAGAAGAAGAAAAACAAACAGAGCGAGGAGAGGACAGGCTTTTCAGCAGTAAATCTGAACAGATTGAGTATGAAAAGGCAGGAGAGGGGGTGGGCTTAGTTCATACAAATCTCTAAATCAAATACACAATAAAGGCAATCATCAACAATGCAGACATCGTGACATGTATGTATTTAATTATCTCGTTTCCTGTATAGTTTCATCTCTACAGTTCATTCAGGCGGCTTTGCAGCAACAGGTGACTGACTGCATGGGACCGGCCCGTCGTGCAGCTACAAGTGAAAGTGGCGCACGGTCTGCTGGTCCTTTGTTGTCCACAAATGTGGAGACTGTTTACTGATTTTCCTCCTGGGGGAGGGTTTGGGGGGGGGGGGCTACAGTTTGCACACTCAGTGCAAGCCAAAAGACAAACGAGCGAATCTGAAGACCCTCTTGATAAGTCAGGGAAATTAATGCAAACTTCGTATAAAAAATATGGCCTGAAAACGGCAGAGATGGTTGCAGTAGTGGTGCCGGAAGGAAACGGTTTATAACGGCCCAGCGCATAGCCGTAATGTAATATAAGAGGGGTTTTTGTTTGAAGCAGAACAATAATTCCCCTGCTTCCAAAACACCCGAGAAGGGCGGGGTGCCTCGCGGACACACAAACTCGTTCCTTCATTCACACGCTGTCTAAAACAGCGCAGTGGCCGGACAGCACTCGCGAGGGGCACAATGCGATCCTATTGGCTGAGGTGGTGCAGCTGTGTCGATCCTTTGGATCACGTGCACAACTTTGATTTCTGGCACCATCACTTGTTGAATCTGGGCAGTTTAAAACAAACGAACGTCTTAATTTATCTGCTTCTGCTGCGATCAGTGGCTCAATGATGTTGTGTTTTGTTACACGACATCCACCAACGGAATTGCGGATAGTAGATCGCCGAGCTGTAACATTTCATCATGTGAAATTTCCAGGGGGAAAAAACGAGTTTAAATGTATGTTTGTTCCCTCCTTAAAAACGAAACAACTGAAAGATTTAAAGGCTGTATAAGAGGAATTCTAATTTTAGTTTCTACATGGATTTATTTTACAGTCTATGCGTGCAGACGTTTATTTGAGTATCTCTAAGCCACAGGTGATCTAAAACTAAAAAAAGAAAAGATATAATTGTCCTTGTACTGTTACAAATGCGCTTCTTTGAGCTTGTTTCGTGGGCATTCAGAGATTCCTTGATGGAGAAGGCTGTTGAGCTGATGGGACTGAATCATCATTAACAAGCCAACAGACACAGGAACCCCCCTCCTCTGGTCTCATTTCCCAGCATAGACACTAACCTCTTTCACTCTGTCATCGGCCCGACTCTCTCTCTCTCCCTCTCTCCCTATCTCTCTCTCTCTCTCTCTCTCGCTCTTTCTCTCTCTCTCTCCCTCCACCGACTCCGGCACACAACAGCACCGTCCATTGTTCTCGGCCCTCCCCTCCCTCCGCCTGGCCCCTCGACCCAACTGTTGACCAACAACTCCACTCGCACATTAAACTGGGAGGGGGTCGGCGAGGGAGGGGGGGGGGGGGGTTGTCCTATTTTAGAATATCACACATTCAGAAATGGTTGCGAAAAACGTGTGGAGAGACACATGTTGGATGGACGTTTTAATAACTATCTGAAAGAGATTCGAAAAATACGTTCATTTGAAATTAAATGTGACTCCTGAAAAAGAGGCCTGTTTTTAATTTTAGATAAAAAAAATCTCATTTCAGCACTCCCAAATTGTGTAGACAGCAGGATGTTGCACACATTAGCCACAGTTTGGCCGCTTGTGCTGCGTGTGTTGCTTTTCAGAATAAAAGCTTTAGAAATGGT